TGGATGCTGGCGTGCGCTGCGAACCTTTATAGCTAACTCTAATCTAGCTCGCCTTCATCATCCCCCTCGGCGCCAAACCGGACCAATGTCATGACGCAATCACCCCCAATGATATGCGCTCCGATCTTTCCTGTGCCTTCTCCGGATCCTTATTGTTATTCGGGGGCTGGCTAGTGGTCATATGGAGTTTCATCCGCACAATGGCCTTCCACCTACAAGTATGCTGGGAAAGAGTTCTTGGACCGAAGTTCATGTGGACAGCCTTTGTCTGCGGATTCGGAATCCCAGCAATCGGACTGACAATTATGCTGATCCTGACGGGAGTGTCATTCCGATTTGGCGAAATCTGCCATATTAACGTAACCAACGGACTATACGACTACTGGATCCCAGTGATGGTTTTCGCCGTTGCAGCCCTCTTCTTCCAACTATCAACAATGGCCTACTGCATACACATCTACCTCCGCTCCCTCTTCGACAAATCCGCCTCAACATCAGGCAGCTCCGGTGCGAACCTCCCGTCCTATACGGCTAGCATCGGCACCGTGACAGCCCGACAAGCCTACCGCCGCGTCCGTCGCGTCCTTAAACTCCAATGGCGCGGCATCGCCCTCACATCAATCATCCTCGGCAACGTAATCTTCTTCGCAGTGGTCTTCATCAACCTCGATAACGCCGTCGCGCCAACAGCAGAAAACGTCAAAACCGCCGGCCCCTGGCTCATGTGTCTCGCCGAAACCGGCGACAAGGAACTCTGCCGCGAATACGCCTCAGTCATCGGCCCAAACGAAGAAACCCTACTAGCAGTCGTATTTCTGCTCTCGCTCGTCGGCTTCTGGAACTTCATCCTCTTCGCCCGTCCATCCATGTTCGCCGGCTGGCTGGATCTATTCCACCGCAAAGTGACCCGCCGCCACGAGTTCGTCTCTGCAGATGCGACCACCCGCTACGCTGACAACAAGGGCTTCGAAATGCTGACTACATCTGTGAAATCACCCGATACGTTCATGCGCTCGCCAAGCCCTTCCCGAACAGGGCCCGACCGCAACGCTTTCATGCGCTCGCCGAGCCCTACACAGATGGGCGGGTCTGACCGCAGCGCCTTTATGCCCTCGCCAACCCCTACGCAGACGACTGGATACGGCCGCAGTCCGGTTGCCAGCCCCAGCCTGAGCTCCGAGCCCAATACTCATGTTACTCGAGAGGCCCGCTATGTGCGTCCCTCGTTGAGTTTTTCCGGGCCTAGGCCGCCTAGCTCGTTACGAAGTGCTAGTGCACGCGAGTGGGATCCACAGTCTTCGTTTGCGGCAGGGTACGGACGAGAACGAGTGTAATGTTTGCCGAAATACGTTTTTTATGTTTCGCCCTCTTTTTGATGTTCAAAAATATTTACCGGGGTTTTATTTTATCTGGGCTTTAGCCTATACCCCCCGTTTCCAAAAGATGCTACACGAAAAGGATGTCCTAGGGATTTCTTGAGACACGGTGTTACAGGAGGCGTCTCACCATTTCCGAGTTAGGCGTTCAGTGACTTTCGCCAACATGTACGTATCAATGATGTACGGAGTATGATGTGCAGATTTCATCGTATCCTCCACTTTGTATACGATATAAATCTATAATTTATTTGGATCTCCACATTTAATACACTTTTTATCTCCCGAAACTCGAGTCTATTCTATCCATTGCAATCCCGATAGCGTCTCAAGCTCAATTTCAATCCCAACCTCAGCCACGACAATTCAATCGGGTTCCGGCATCGGTATGCCCGTGATCAGACGCCAAATTACTTCGCACGTTAAAAATACCGACAAAAGAATGGTCCCACAAAGACGGCCCATTGCGACTCTGTCTTAGTGTAACACAATACCCGGGGGCGACACTAATTCCCCTGCCTAGTCGGGATTATGACGGACTCCACCACCTTTCCGGTAGGAACGGCGGTTTTGCCTCGTTAGGGCTAGTGTTTCGATATAGTTCAATGTTTCAGCCCGTAACCCGTGTATTACAACGCAGTATTACATATGTAGTACTTACTTTCCTACCGGCTAAACGGGGAGAGTTATTTCTATACTAGCTAAACCATATTTTTCACTTTCAAAACATCCCTGTTAGACCTTCAGAGAACCCTTCTAGACTGTTGCTGGATGCGGGTGGAAACTCCTGTGTGCGGTTGCTCCTGGCCCAGGTCCACGGGTCCACGAGGGGGTTGGTGATTATGTGAGATTCGTCTATTCCAAACTTGGAAGGTTGTACCTACGTAAGGGCATTCTTTAAATTGCGAGGCTGAATATACATTTTCTTTGGTATTCAGTATAGGTAACTACAACATACACCAGACCCTGTACAGGCATGTATAGAGGGCAGGGTCCGGGGTCAGGAAGTTAATTAAATTGCGTACATTGGACAGGGTATGTGATAGCGAGGGGCTGAGTAGCTCCATGCACGTAGTCGTAGACTAGGCTATGTCTGGGTTTCTAGTGGACGTTGATCTAGACACCACATGGCACGAACCGAGGAATGTCACTAACTTTGATTTTCAGTCAAGCATCTCACCTATTTTCTAGGGAGTACTCCGTACCAATGCTGTCATCCTGACCTCGGGATGGAAAACCAAGGATCTACGGTTCACGAACTCCCCGCATCCCAACTCCGGCAAATATCCGAACCTTCCGAGATTCCAAGGGTTCTGTTTAGAAATGTCGTGATCAACCTTTCTTGTGATTGTTCCAGTTCTGTTGATCTGCGGGTCTTACGACCATTCAGTGTGAATTGTACGCGGTGATCTCACGAGATCTCCCGCTTGCGGGGTTGATCGACCGAGGTAGCATGTTTCCCCAGACCTGACATTGGAAACTAACGAGGACGATATACGGGAGCTGGGTGAGAACTGGCTCCAGTTATTCCATGATTCCTTGGATTTGTGGCTGTTCATTGGCTAGGAGAGTGGTTGCTTCGGCATTGATGGCACTGGGGGTGGGGTTGGCACGTGCTTTTGGTGGCGTACAGCTTCGTACATTACTCCATACATACAACATACGATTGTATATGCAAAATCCGGGGCAGACAGGGTTCGGGATTGTCGTTGAAGATGGGGCCACAAATGGCGGGGAAATAGGCCAAGGTTGTTGGATTCCAACGTCACTAGTGTGTCGATGATCCGAGGTCTACCATGTGATTCTCAAGTTGCGGGGAAACTTTATTTTTTGGTTTTATGGGGTGGGTATTGGGGATCTTCCATTCTAATTATTGGGAATATAGGTGAAAGAAACGCCGGCAGGGAACCATGGCATTGGGCTAACTGCAGGATGCACGGGTAGATGGAAACTGCCAAACCCTATATCGTTACTAGACCGGGAGTAACTAGGAGTATATGACTGGTAACACGACACCGCATGCCTGCTTTGGACACATGTTTACAATCACTGCCTCAATGCCAATGCAGTAGTAGTCAAGTCAGGATGCCGCCATTTAGCGTTATTCCGGAGGAGCAAAACCATCTATGCACCAGGCCTGAAAATCAAGACTTCACCACTTCACGTACATTGATCTCTCGAAGGAGAGAATACAGGATCTTGAGTATTTGCATGTTTCTCTTGTCTCTCCCGTGGCCCGAAAGCTTCCTCTCATGAGCATTGCGAGTACATAATGGGGAAATATCATGCTGTTGGAGAGGGCAAGTTTATCATGGTGCCCATGCTTCATCTATAATGAGTATAGCGGTTGATATCTGAGAAAGGTATGGCTGATAAACCATCCTAGCCATCCTACCACCATTTTTGCACATCGAGGACATGGGATGTGCGCTAACAGTATAGGACTGGAGATATTAGCATTTTACCTGTTGGGATCTTACAATGACAGGGCTTGCCTTAGAAGTTCGGGATCTTCGCGGACCTTTTCCAGAGAACTCTCTTTCTCCACTGTGGACTATATAGTGGGTCACAGCTCTGTGTGTGAAAAGTAAAGAGGCAGAGAGAGACAGAGGGAGAAGGAAAGAGAGGCCGATACTTGCCCAGGACTGCTAGACTGAGAGAGAAAAGCGAGAGGTTGTTTCTGTTAAGATATAGTTTTCCGGTTTTCTAGCTTGACTCTATCTCTTTTATTTCTGTAATCATGCATGTCGTAGCCAGCCCCAGCTTTTTCGATCATGTTCGATCCATACACCATTTGTGCAAGGGTTTTCGATATGTGTTCTTCAAATGCCGTTTTTGATCAACGGGTAAAGGGCAGTGAGAACTTTTGAAGGCTGATTACCCAGGTTGATGATCTCAGGGAAAACATTGTTGGGATCGAAATCATTAGAGCCCCCGATCTGGCAGTCGTAACAGTCGTTTATAGTAATAGTGAATTTGTTTCCATCCCACGCAATGAATGTGTATAAAGTGTACCATAACCGAATCTGAGATATCAAGTGGCCTATTGATTTGGGGAAATTTAAAGCGGTATAATAAGGAGAAGACGCGGTTGAAGTTGAAGTTATTTCAAGACCTTCGAAAACATTCGAGAGGCTTGGGCGCTTAATCTTTTTTAGTGACGGCATCTGGAGCGATCGTCAGTTGAAAGTGAGAAGAAAAATAAGTGGGAAAGAACAATAAGTAAGAGGTGGTCGAGCGAGTCAGGAAGCTTGTGGACTTGAACTTCTCTGAGAGCCGGTGGAGCAAAAGTTGACTCACTCTCAAGACTGTGATGTGAATGGAGATGTGAAAAGGAATTTTGACACCTCTCTTTTAAACGTCCTTATCAGCTTTGAAAGCAATACTATCTTTGCCTTTCTTTCTCATTCTCATCCCATCCTACTACTCTAGATCTGGCACATACATAATATTAACTTTCATTCATTTTGAAACCCCAAGGAGAGAACAAGGTCAAACGTCTGTATATTCCTCGTACTATAGGTAATAAACAAGTTACAAATACACTCAGATTCCAACAAAAAAAGCAGTCGAAAACAATGTCTACTCAACATGATCCAAGCAAATGTCAAAAATAATGTCCATCTACAAGCCACCAGCAGCACAAATCTTCTTAGCCTCATCGACACGCTCCGCATACCGACTGGGATACGCAGAGCCCTGCACCTTCTGGCAAAGCCTGCCAACCTCCATGGTCTTCCAGCCACTAACATTCTTCATTTTCTTGAAGAACTGGGCCGCCGACTTCGCAGCATCCATATCGGCAGCGATGTCGGGGTAGTAAATAGCACGTTGCTGGAAGATGCCCACGCTGTCATAGTCCGAGCCCACAGCGTCATGCGGGTAGTTGAGGGAAGCGGGGACTTTCTTGTTGGCATAAATGAGCATATTAGACTGGAGATAATGTCAGTAATGTTCTGAATAGTTATTATCGAGGTTGAATGTGTATGTTAAGACTCACCTCAACAAGACCGGTTGCAATTCCAGCAAGACAGCCCTGACGACCCAAGCCTTCTTCCTTTGCTTCTCCGATGATGGCCTTCGCATGCTTGGACTGGGTGGATGTGAGACCGGGTAGGTTTCCACTGGTGTCGTCACCGCTGTCACCTCCGCTGCCGCTGTCACATTTCTTGGTGACATAGCTGCTGCTGCCGGTTCTGATATAGTAGTCGGTGATGTAGCAGCCGTCGGAGGTCTTGTCCCAGATTTCGTTGCCATTAACGGAGGTACCGGAGGTCTGGCAGGTGATTGAAACGTCGGTTCCCTGCTTGTAGCTCTTGACTACGGAGTAAGAGGTTCCTGGACCAGAGCGGCAGTTGACAACGTCGCCGGTGATGGGGTAGGCATTGACGATTGGCGTGATGGCGGCAAACGCGAGTGCCACAACGGGAGTGAACATCATTTTGAATGGGTGTTTGGAATTATACTTGTAGTATATTGTGAAGTTGAAGCTGGTGTGGCAGATGGGAGCTTGTAGAGTAGCCGATGTTGCGATGTTGTGAGCCGACGGATAGAAGAGTTTGAATGGGAATCAACGAGCATTTTATATCCCTGGTGTCTTCATTCCTCGAGATCGTATACTACACAAAATAAGTGTTGCGTTCATCCTTGCTTGATTTGGACCCCACGAAGCTCGTATAATGATGCTGAATGTAGAGAGATCTTCGATTCGTATTCGTAGATTTTTCTAGGAGGCCCGTATCCAGAGGTGAGGTTGTATCAAGCGAAAGTAATGAATCTAGATTTGGAAAGGTCATCTCGTATAACCCCACAGGGAATTCTCGTGTTATTTTATGTCCGATGTTGTTAAGCTACATCGAAACATCGGTTGGGCTTGGCGTTCGTGTTCCTGAAGATATTTGCCTATTAAGGCACAACGTGCACGCCTAAAAATAGCAGGGCTATCCCGATATTAGCGTCGATTGTTGTAGATCATCCGTATTCAGATTGTGCACTTCAACTGATTCGTCTGTTATGTCCCTGGCAGATTTAGTGCATACTACATTGGAAAGCCAAAGACTGTGAAGGGTCTGAAGGGATAAATTTAGGTATTGCCGATGCTTAATGTATGTTGCGACTCGTTTCAGCTTGTGATCATAGATTCGTACTAATTTCTGAGCCCAGGAAGGGTTCGACAATAGAAGTGTATCCGTGTTTGCGAGTCCTTGTGCAAGTTAGGCATCGGTTATTGGAGCTCCTAGTTATGTGATAATGCCAACTCTTATACAGAGAATAGCGTACTACATCGCTAGTTAGCTGAGTAGTTAGCTATACTAAGTAGGAACCGGGCTAAAGGAATCATAATGAGCTCGCGATATGCTTCCTAACAAGGTAGTTATTCTCCGTCGGATGATTTTCTTATTTCTTGGCTCCGGGTCTAAACATAGCATTAAAGAGATCAGCCTCTGAGAAGTATTCCGAATAAACACCGAACGTCGATCTCACTGCTGAAATGTGCCTCGGCTAATAAGGTTTGGCAATTTTGCTTGTGTCGGCAATCGTGAGTACTTATACTTCGTACAGGCCACTTGCTTCCATGGTCTCAATTGTACTGTCATGGATGAATGATCAAAGTTAAGTTTATGACTTTATCATGTCTTGCCATGTATCCTGTTCTATCAGTAACCGAGTCAATTCCTAAGGCTGTGAGATCTGAGTGTAGTTCTTCCACCCGAGTCTATACTTGTCGGGCTCTAGATATATCCCTAGAAGAGCTGGTGTGAAGATCTGATTCTAGTGCCTGATCAACTCAAATGTCCTCCATTTCTTTACATCAGCCGCCTCCGCATCAGTGAACTGCATGGTGAAGATGATTCCCGAACAATTTCAAACTGTGAGGATCGAATCGCGTCGAACAAAAGATGGAGCTTGAAAATATATTGAGCATGCAGAACTCCTTCCGCATTTATTCAAAGGAAATGTGTGATCTATCAAGACAACTAATTCATGAGCTATTAGAGAATCCTGCAAGTGTATGCAAATGGCCGTTAGTGCTGAAACTGGATCTTCTCAAGCGGGTCACACCGACTCGACTCGAGATTGAGACAAACAGATAAACAAGATCAAATCAAAAATGGAAGAGAATATGAAATAAAAGTAAAGCTCTATAGATATAATATAGATGTATAGATGTATAGATAAGAAATGGCATCATTCCCGAATACCCGACGTCACCAAAGGCGGAGAGAGAAAGGGAAGCTCAGTGTGCGTCCACGGGTGAAGTCTCCCCGCTCTCCCCAGCCACCTTCTTATCTGTCTTCCACATTTTTCTTACCTTTCCCTCATCTCGAATTTCATCATCTTCATTCTGTCCAGAAAAGAAGACATGGCTCCTCCTCCTCCTTCCGCAACTTTGCCTCTGGTTGAGAGACTCAAGGCCTTGGCACAGACCCTACAGTGCGTTTCCCTACTCCAATGCCGAAATGGTGCTTCAATGCCTTGTTCATCAATACTAACGATATGCAACGTTGCAGGTTTGCCTGGTTCGTTGGGTAGGTCAATTGCTAAAGTACACGCCGAAAGATCCCAAGTCAGGGTCATTAACAATTTCTAGACATGTGACACTTTTGCTCTCCGTCTTCCGCTACTCCCTGTCTTGCGTCTTCTTCAACTACTACTCCTCCTCGGCACAGATTGCCTACCGTCTGACATTCATCTCGGCCGCCGTGACTTATGGAATCGTCGTGTACAAGGGCCACTTCGCCCGGGGTGTCCAGGGCAGCCCTCTGGCAATTGTGATGAAGCTCATCTCTGACGAGAATGTGCAATACCTTGGTGAGTGATTGGCGATATGAGAGTCCAAAATTCAAGCTTATACGTATTCTAGGGATGGCTCTGGTCTGGCTGTACTCGCGCCAGCTCATTCTGGCTCTTCTGCCTTTCAGCGTCTACTCGGTCTTCCACGTCGCAACTTACAGCCGCATGTACTTGATCCCTACCCTGCAGCCCGCTGCTCCGGCCGCCCCTGCCTCTCCCACCTCCCCCAACTCCAAGCCCGCTGTCAAGCAGTCTCCCCTCGCCGAGACCATTGGACGGTTCATCAAGCAATACTATGATGCTAGCATGGGTGTTGTCGCTACTCTGGAGATCGCCCTGCTGTTCCGCCTTGTTCTGTCCGCTATCACTTTCTCCAAGGGTAGCTGGGTGCTCCTGCTCGTCTACCTGTCTTTCTTCCGCGCCCGCTATGCGCAGAGCTCCTTCGTCCAACAGGCTGTCCGCCAGCTCACCGCCCGTGCCGACGCCGCCATCTCCCACCAGAGCACTCCTCCTCAGGTTCGCCAGGGCTGGGAGACCGCCAAGGGTGTCGTGCGTCAGGGCTACGAGGCCACCGATATTGGCCGCTACATCTCTGGCCCTACCGCTGCCAAGAAGCCGCAGTAAATGTCGCTATGGTGATGTGCCAGGCACCTTGCTTGCAAGCTGGAGCTCATGACGTTGGGAAAGAACGTGGGTTTTCAGTAAGCAAGGTTTATGAACGAAGGTGGCTGGTGCAAGGCATAATATTTCAGCTTTATCTTTCCCATTGGCATGTTCCTGCCTGAGCGAAGAACTTGGAGGATGTCGGAGTATGGGACTCCCAGGTCCCGACTGTAGAAATGAGGCGGACGCGGAGGATTCCCGCCATTATGATGCTATACGCAACGACCTGTGTCTATTATTTCTAGAGTATTGCGATGCATAGTTTCTGTATTTGCTTTCCTCTCGTCAAATACCTTGTTTCGGATTCATTTCGTTATTTTGATTTGTAGAAGTCTGCTAAATATAGTAAATAGCTGAAAGAGAACACTCTACCCCTATGAGCACGGTGTCCAATGTGTGCAAGAACACAAGATGATTGGTTCTTATAAAATCCGCAAATGTCTTCCACAAACTACGCAAATATATTCGCGCATGCTCGTTTTAATAAACTTGCGATACACCTTGTCCCATCCATTTGGAATAAAGACCCTCGGACTAAATCTGCATAGTTTTTATGCCATGGGCTATCTTTACAATCATATCCCTCAGGAGATGTTAAAATGCTCCAATGACGAAATCCCGTGACCCATGCCTGAGGCGCCATATCGGTCTTGGCGGCGAAAAGAAGCCGATCAGAATTTTGGCTGGTGGAACAATCGTCTCGCAAACAGTACTAATCAATCCTTTCTGGGTCTCTCGTCACTCTTTCTTCTTATCCTTACCTCCCAGGGGTGCTTCTCTCCCATCCACTCTCTCAGCACCCCCTAATCCCAGCCTGGTTCCGACCAGTACCGATCGGGATCGCAGTTTGGTATAATATTGCCATGAGCCTGACCTCGCGGGTGTTCGGCCTGTTCTCGACAGCGACCTCGGACTCAACAGCACCGCCTGCCGGGGACTCACATACCTTGGCATGGCCACAACCGACCCCAACGGGTGAAATCGATGATTTAACCCACGCTGTTCGAAATGGCGACCTCGCGCTGTTGGAGGAGGAGGAGTCTCGGCCGCCATACCTACATGTACAATTGTCCCTAGCGACACCACCCTATTTCGCGAGGACTGACTTGGTTTCAAATTATAGGCGATGTTGGCTGGTGGTACCGGAGGAACATGCGGCGATATGTTGATGCACTCATTAGACACAGTCAAGACCCGACAACAAGGCGATCCGACCTTTCCGCCCAAATACACTTCGATGGGTCAGTCTTATTCAACAATTTACCGCCAAGAAGGATTCTGTCGCGGGTTATATGGTGGAGTAACGCCGGCCCTACTCGGCTCGTTTCCCGGCACCGTGATCTTCTTCGGCGTTTATGAGTACACCAAGCGCTTGATGATCGACTCCGGGATCAACCCCAGCATCGCCTATTTATCAGGTGGTTTCTTTGCCGACTTGGCTGCGTCGGTTGTATATGTGCCATCCGAGGTGCTGAAGACGCGACTCCAGTTGCAGGGCCGACACAACAACCCGCACTTTGACTCGGGCTACAACTACCGCAACATGCGAGATGGGTTCCGGCAGATCGTCCGCCTGGAGGGATTCTCGGCCTTATTCCACGGCTACAAGGCCACTATCTTCCGCGACCTCCCATTTTCCGCGCTCCAATTCGCATTCTACGAGAAAGAGCAATCTATGGCTAAACAATGGGTTGGAAAACGGGACATTGGGTTGGGATTGGAGATTTTGACAGCCGCCACCGCTGGCGGTATGGCTGGTGTGATCACCTGTCCCATGGATGTAGTCAAGACACGCATCCAAACCCAGCTAAACCCAGCAGAGCCCCCATCCGGTTCTTCGGGCGCGAAGCATACTGTCGAACATGTACCGAAAGAAAGCCCACGGCCACACGCACCGGCATCATCACATTCCCACCCTTCCCGGGCACACTCGCGACCAATCTCCACATCAGGAGCAAGCACATCAATCCCACCACCCGGTACGCCCCGACTTGACACTTCCTCTGTATTTACAGGGTTGAAGATGATCTACCGAACGGAAGGTATTGCGGGGTGGTTCCGCGGCGTGGGCCCACGCGGTGTATGGACTAGCATCCAAAGCGGAACTATGCTGGTTATGTATCAGTATCTGCTCAAACAACTCGAGGCTCACCAGATCCTGGAAGGGTCTTTGTAAGACCCTTTCATCTAACTGCATGCATTTCCAATGTTGCTGTTCTTTTCTTCTTTCATTTTTTTGTCATTGGGAAATGGGGGCGTTGGATTCTTATCCCAATCTGGGATGTTATGACCCTGGGTGCTTTGAGCACTTTGTATACTGTGTACCTGCTCTGTGATAGATTATTAGACTGGCTGCGGCCTCCTGTACCATAACTCTTCTTTTCATCTCCATATCATACATATTTTGGCATATTTGGCATATTCCGGGTTCTATATTCCGTTTGTATGTGATATCTTTGCTGATACCCAAGCAAAACATAACAAAAAGAAACATAGAATCTATCTATTATCCAACCTTGGTTAAATTCTTTTAAAAAGGCCTGTAAAGAGAAAGTAAAAAGCCCATCAAAGAAACATTTCAACGGAATGACACTGAACAAAGGGAGTGAACGCGCTAAACCGTGTTTTGTTTTGGCGATCGGCGGATGTAAACAATTACTGGCCACTCCCCTCCCTTGCATCTTCTTTCCCCCAGTGTTCACTTTCTTATTTGACATTGGTCCAATTTCTCACATTTGATATCGGATACATTATGTCTCTTCCTTATCTCAAATCGCTGAAAAAGCCTGAGTTGGCCGAGTTGGCCGATCAGACCGACCTGCCACAGTAAGAACGAATGCGATTGTCGCATAGACTGAGCTGATCGCATCTATAGCTACGATGACTATAACAAGAACGATCTTGTCGTAGTTCTGGACAGACATCTCCGCGAAAACCGCTCTATCTTCTCCGGACTCAAGAGCCTCTCTGAATACTACTCGCGCCTGGCCTCCCCACCCCGCAGAGGATCGCCCGTGAAGCGCGAAACCGCGCGAACTCCAGCGCGGACCCCAGCACGCCGCTCTGCGAAGAAGGAAGTGAAGGAAGAGGAAAGGGAGGAAACTAGGTAAGAGCGCCCCCACCCGCGCCATTCCGTCTATCGCTATCAACGCACATACTAACCCACGCACCAGCGAGGGTGTGGAAGAACCAATGCCCAGCCCAGTTGTAGTCAGCCCGACTCCCGCTGTGGCGCGCACGAGCACTCGTCAGTCCGCGCGCCAGACACCCCGCCAGACACCCCGTCAACCAGCTCTCGCTACTGTCGTGGACCCAGAGCGATCATTGCCCGCATCTCCAGCTGCCATCACTGAAGCCATCGATGCGCAGACGCTCAAATTGCGCGAGAGCCTTGAGGATGCATGGACTGCGTCCGGCTTGGTAGACCGGGCGCACTCTCTGCGAGCAACGCTGAGCAGCGTGAAGGCAGTTGAGATCATTGTTCTGCTACTTGAGAGTGGCAGTCTTGCGAAAGAGTTGATCCCGGTACGCTACCTTACTACTACACCGGCTGTGCAAGCCGCGCAGATTCCTCCGATCCCCATCAGGGTTCCTGATCTATTTGTGTTGCTTGAAGGAGCATTCTGGGCGCCATTTTCGCTTTGGTTCCTCACTTGTCTGTTTTTGCCTTTGGTCTCGGCCTACTTTATCAACTTGAGCTGGAAGGCTTCTAGCAGTGCGCGTCGCACCCGGTCTGCGCCCAGTCTCGCCCAGTTTGATCCGTTGACTTTCAACATCGTCAAGGCGTTGCTGGTGCACATTGTGTTTGGCAATGATTTCAACTTCTTTGGTTTCTATAGCCGGTATGCCATTGGGAAGGTTGTTGACTCTGTCCCTGGTGGAGACCTCGGTCTCTTGACTGGATCCGCTATCGGCGGTGTTAGCGCTCTGTACGAGGCTATTCTGCACCGCTCGTAAGAGGCTGGGTATGAATTTTGTGAGGCTGTACAGATCTGGCGAGGAATGGTTATTCAGTGGTTTTGGATGGTTGTTGTCCTATTCGTCTCCGTTGTTTTTTGGTTTGCTTATGGGTTCAAGTTTAGTCACTGGTATGGGATTATGCGATATGCGATATTGGGTTTCTTTTCTTGCTTTCTCTGCTTTCTCTTTCCCCTGTCTTTCTTGCTCTCTCGTTCTAGCCAGAGATGGCGCCTTGGGGTTCTTGTTCTGATAATGTTTTTGGGACTCTTGTCTGTTTTCTCTTCTAATGACCGATTCTTTATTTCATTCTGCAACAGGGGTATCCGAGTGTAGAAGTATATGTATAGTCGAGTTTATCCAAGTTGTAGATGACTTGTAAGACTAGCTTAGACATGCAGCGGTTGGTGTGAGCCAATTGGACATATCTGCTGCTATGGGTGGGCTGAATCGCAAATTTGCGATAGCGATGTGACTCTGAGCCTAGGCTCCGTGAGTCATGAAAGGTCCCAGACAGACTCTGGTGGTTCCTATTAAGCTCTGTACCCAATGTCATGCTTCACGCTCACAGTCATCTCTTCAACCTCTCCGCCAACTCTACAGTGAACAAAACCGGCACAGAGGTCTCAACCTCTACCTTGTCAGCGCGGATATGATTGCTCGTGGATATCTGCCCTCCAATCTCGGTATGCCAATTCTCCACATCCCATTCAAACCCATGGGTTGTAATCTTGGCAGGTGACGATAGGGGGATGATCCCGATATTTTCCTCGAAGAAATATTCTGGTTCTGATTCTTGTTCTTGCTCCTGCTCCTGCTCTTGCCCACGCTTTCGTTTTCTTGGTGATTTGTTTATACCAGATGCGGACGCTGGCGCAATGTCTGCTCGTTTTGTTGCAGGCGTGTGGATTGTATTCTTCCCCGTTTGGATAATGAAGGTAATACTTTCCTCAGAGACGAGATAGAGGTTACCACCTGCAGCTGGCTTGGCATCAATGCTTGAGGTGTTGGTTTCATTTTCACGGATTGAGCGCTGCGTCTGCGTCATCATGTACAAATGGTGGACTTGCGAGAAGGCTTGATCAACGCGGCCGCCTAGACCGCCGAGGATGACAATTTCCAGAAGTGATTGATCAGATGATGAGGTTGATGTGCTTCCATTTGCGCCATTGGTGTCTGATTTGGTGGTGTTTGCTCCTCTTCTGGGAGAAGCTATGATCTCTGCGGCATGTGCGTTGAGATATTTTAGACACTTGGTGAAGTCCGTTGAGTATTGGTCTGGATCTTGGAGGACGGACACTCCGAGTTTCTCATAATGTTCTCGCACTGCGGGGCGGATGGAATCAAGGTCGCCGACAATTGAGTCAGGAAGCTATATCTCTGGTCAGCTTGATCTTTGTTGTGCTGCTATGTCTCTCTCGCCAAACATTGCAGTCTAGAAGGATTGCCAAATAGTACGCTTTATATATATCGCTTACTTCTTTTTGATTATCTTCCGGCATATCAAAAAGCCGATTGGCACCTCCATCGGCGCAAATAATATAGGATGCTGCATGGGCATTAGTATTTCTTATACAACACGTCGTGTTTATATATAACTCATATAGAAACATACCATATCTGCTCAACACTCCAAAAGCTTTCTCGTTGATTGGCTGGTTGAGGATGAGAAGAGCGTAAGGCGAAGAACTCCCTTCAGGATGGAAGAATCGGCTGGGATCCCACTCCATTGCAAGAGATTGAACACAAGCCAAACAGAACTTAGTTCAAAAGATGTAAACAAGCGAAATCCAAGCCCGAAAGGTGCGTGGTGACGATATAATTATCTTGACTCGAAGCTGCAACGTGACTGGCTGACGCGGGCAGACAACCTTAGGCCAAAATCCACATCGCTTTCCAACTTCTCCATCCCGCGGTGCCTCGACTCCCCTCCTCCCAATCCCTTCTCGGAGGAACTCTCGGTCAATTCGATTGATTCCCACTCTTCTCACACATAATGTTCCGTCCCGCCGCTCGAGCGCTCGCCCGCGCGCCCGCTGTCGCAGCCCGTACACCAGCGAACAGACGATTGATAAGCACCGGTCCGACCAAGCCGAGAAGCTGGAAGAGCACCTTCTTGCGATTGGGCTTGGCCGGTGGTGCTATCTACTACTACAACACGAGCAGTGTGTTCTCCGAGGAGCCGAAGTGTACGTCTCGATTGGAATTGGGGTTGCCCTTGTCCCTTGATCCCGAGGTTGCTAGCCGCGACAATTCTGTGACCGTCAAGGCCAATGAGTTCTGGAATCGCAAATTGCTAACTCGGCTTCCATTTGGCTTTAGTCTCTCTCCTTTCTTCGATCCGGAAACAAAATGGTGATGATGCCAACCCCCAGACCCTCGACTCCATTACTCCCAAGATTCGGCAAGAACGAGCTGCCGCGCAGTCCCAGAAGAGCGAGTCTACTGCTTTGGAAGGTGGACTGAACGCCCAGGAGCTCCAGGAGGAGGCCGGCCAGGAGGCTGCGTTCAACCCGGAGACCGGCGAGATCAACTGGGACTGCCCGTGTCTTGGAGGCATGGCCCACGGGCCATGTGGAGAGGACTTCAAGGCTGCTTTCAGCTGCTTCGTCTACTCTGAGGAAGAGCCCAAGGGCATTGACTGTGTTGAGAAATTCAAGTATGTTTTACTGTCATTTTTGAGGCCGATGGTCCTGTGCTAACGATTTTTGCAGGGCAATGCAAGATTGCTTCCGGCAACACCCTGAAGTCTACGGCGCCGAGCTGGAAGACGACGATGAGCCCCAACCCCAGTCCGATGCTCCTCCCCCCTCCGAAGTTCCTGCCCCCTCCGAAGTCCCCGCTACCTCCGAAGTTCCCCCCACTGCCGCCGAGGTGGATGCGTCGTCGCAGCCCACCGAGAAGCTGACCCGCGCCAAGGATGTCAACGCCCAGGTGAAGGCCGACACCACTGTTGCAGGCGAGAGCGCCGAGGGTGACTTCCTCATCCCCAAGGCCGCGCATGACACTGAGGAGGACAACAAGGCCAGCAAGGCTTAGAACTGAGCTCTCAAATCCCTGCATTCCTGTTTGACACCACCCTCCCCTAGAGACAAGCGTACTGCCCGATCTCTTTTCTGTAATGCATGCACATCAGGGACCGGGATTGGAGTTGTGTATTATATAGACCTTGTTGCCATCTCTCCATCTCCCGTTTTGCCTTTGATGCATTTTCCCCTCCGTGATCTTTCAGCATATCCATTCCCCCGGTCTGCGCTCCTCTGTTTTCTTCATGATACTTCCTCCCTGTCAATTGTAACTTAGTGTACTGATATGCTTCACGCTCTTGTCCCTCGGACAAATAAAAGAAAGAGGGGAAATCGAATAGACTTGTTGCATCACGACTAGTTTCCAGTTTAGAACTTTTGCATGGACGACCAGACAAGGAGGGCACATCTGTTCGAACAAGACTTTGTCAAATATCGATATTAGTTTCTGCACAACTGCTGGGGTTTCATAAGACTCGAACCCTAGTAAGACCCAACTTCTCCCACTTGCTTCAAGACTCCCAAGGTAATTTCCATTAGGCTGATTCAACCTTTCTCCACGATCCCTATCTTGCCAATTGAGTGTTCTACAAGAATTGCCATCTATTGCAACAATTCCTGTCTAGCCCTATATTCATGCAACCTCCGAAGGACACTGGCCCCATTCCATAACTCTTCGTCTCCTTCGTCGCTCTTCTCCGGCATTCCTACCTGCTCTAACGCAAACGAAGCTGCAACAGATCCGTAGCGAGCCGCTTCAATGATATTACCCCTTCTCTGGAGGTATCCAATAGCGTAGCCTCCCAGAAATGCATTCCCAGCTCCAGTCGCATCAACGACTTTAGCAGCCTGCTCTTCTCCTATGTCTGCTTCGTAGAACGGAGGTAACCATCTAGAAGAGATGTTACGCGATTGAACGAAGCAGCCATTTTCACCAGCTCGAATAACCACCGCGCCTTTTCCTTCTGGGCCGACTCCGCTATCTAGGAACTTCGAGCCCAACCTTTCGATCTCGGATCTATCGGACGCAACCGGATGTCGATGTCCAAAGAATGCCGCCAGCTCCAAGTGGTTTGGAGAAAACACATCGACTAAACCTGTGGTTTCTAGACAGGCTTCGAGGTTCTCGGGTTTGCATGAAAGAGGGGCCGGTTCCCAGATAATCAAAGGTCGATCTGTTATACCTTCCTTTTCTCGAAGAGCGAGGGTGTTTAGAACGTGCGTTTCCATATCTTGCGGACTAGCAAGATAGTGATACACTTTCGAAGCTAGCAAGGCAGTGCCCTGCAACTTGCTTTCTTGAACAGCAAGAACCGGTGTGGTGTACTTGAAATTCTTGGCTAGAAGAAGGTCAGCTCATTCGTATATGTTTCATTCATAAGTGGAAACATATGGTAAATGAAAAGGCATTTTCGCACGTCCGAATGTAGTATCTTGATACTCCAGCAAGCCTCGCGTCGAGGGCCCGTCTGATTCTTTGTCTATAGCCAGATTCACATCCCAGCTCTGCAAGTGCTCTGCAATGGCATCTGGGAAGTCATTTCCAACATGGATTGACCAGGCCAAGGAGCGGCTGAGTGGCGAGGGTAGGAACAGCCGAGCACCCAGAGTGGCTAGGAGAGATATGTCAATTAGAAACCTGGGTTGTTATAGATATAGTGCAGGCGAAAACTAACCATAAGCTCCGGACCCTCCTAGTACATTGGTCAAAGGTTTCTGGTTGGGAAAACGGATCTCATCAAGCACCACCGAGCCAAAGCTTGCGAAAGCAATGCTGTCCATTGGGAGAATTCCCCTAACACTTTTCCAAGATTTTCCAAGACGGGATGGATGTTTCTGATCTGAATTTGAGACAAACAGGGCGCGGGTTTCCGTGTTCCGTATTCGGGCTGATCGGTGGAGTCGGAATGGGGCGAACTTGTTTCTCAGTGGGTAACTTGGTCAAAGTTCCTGTCTCCTTCGTTCTTATGCCTTATGCATAGAGAACGTGTTTTTTTTTTTTTGAGGCCGAATCAAGATGAACTACATTTTTTGATAACTTTTATTTACCTGGCCATTCGAGTGCTCCTTCAATTGGGATAAATACGATACATACCCTAGTAAATTCACAATAAGTTCTCGACATAACTTCTCTAAACGGAGTAGTCTGCTTCAAATGTAAAGTCTAAAGAATTAAAGGAAACCTTGGAAGGGTCGATCGTTTTAATTTGACTGGACTATACCGAAGTGAAACACTTTGATATCATAGAAAGTAGGATTCCGAGTCATTCCAGAAAGAACATGTGAACATGCTACATGTTGTAGAACCGAGTCCTTTCTGACCCCAAGCCATATTAAATGTTTCATATTTTCCTCATTCCCTACGTAACAGCACCTTTCTCGGGTAACTTGGGAAATCAGTTGCCTAATTCGTAAAACGACGTGCAATTGTCTTCCTGCCTTATGCCAACTCGCATTCTATCAAACTCTCAGCACTATCCAGTAGCGTCCAAATTTTAGTAATTTTGAGACCAACTGGCTCAATAACCTGATGCCACTGCTGTTCCGTCCGCTCCTTGGCAGCAAGATCCACCATCATTATCAGGTCCAGAGAAGTAGCCTGCCAGTGGGCCCCGGTATTGGGAACGACGTTCTCATTGATCAGCAACTTGCTGTATCCGGGTATCATCGCAGCGACCAATTGTGACAGGATTTTCTGGCATGTCTCGTCATTCCAGTCGTGCAGCACCGAGTGCAAGAAATATACTCGCGCACCTGGACATATGTCAGCTACTAGTTAATTTTCGATGTGTGTCAATACACTCACCCTTGATGGGCTGTTCCTGGTAGAAGTCGTGGACCATAGGCTTAATTGCTGGGTTCAACGACTTGATATCTTTCAAAACGTGCGGTTGGTCTTGCAGGATCAATCTGCCAGGTGTGTTTGGCCACTTCGATATAAACTCCTCCAGATCGTGCCCTTTGTTTCCGCCAACATCCACGATGAAAACGTCTTCTTCACCGGTCTTCGCTCCCTCGATGAGAGTTTCTACCGGGTAGAAATTCCCATCCATCCAGCTGGGTCTGCCTTGGTGGTAGGCCGACATGAGATTGTTGAATTGAGCGCCGAGGTCGGGATAGTTGGGGTTCTTGCCGTTAAGGAATTCGAAGAAGGGATATTTGGTTTTAAATCCCAGGGTAAATGGACAGTCTCTTCCGTCGGTGGGACTTTGGTAATCGTTTTTCTTGAGCCAGGCGGGCAGCGCATTGATCGCTGGAAGGGTGCATCCAGTACTGCCGGCGAAAAGTAAGTCAGTATACTAATCTGGGGAGGGGAATGTCGACGGCACTACTTACATGCACGGCCAAGCATCATTGTACCGCTTGATAGCCAATGTGGTAGTCAGCCCGTTGCGGCCATACTCATCCATAGCAGTCTCAACGAAGACCCCCATTGTGGCGAGGTGTTTCATGATACGACCTTCAAAATAATACAATAATGAGCGTCATAATTGTTTGACTTGGAAATTATCACTGACCGAGAAGTTCGGGTTCCGCGCCTGTTGTTGCTGCGAGCTCTGCCACCGTTTTAGGCTTGTCGGTCTGTGCTAGTATGAAGAAGATTCCCAGATCGATACAGGTTTCAATGCTGGCGAACGCTGTGGGCTGCCACACAGAAACAACCAAATAAGCATTCTTGGTTCCTCAACTAAGGTCTTTGCTCTGACGCACCTGGGCCCAGCAGTATCGCAGCATGGTTTCCTGGGGCGTTTCCATTGCCTGTACGAGAGACCGGGCTGTCTCCAGGAGCTTCAGGCGCGCATCCGCGTCGCCATTGGTGTAGGCCTGGGAATGAGATTCGATTTCCTTTTGCAAATGCGCGAGCTGTTCAGGGGCGCTGGGTGTAATGGCAACTTGAGGATCAATGATGGCTCCTCCATGGCCATTAGTTGCAGATCCGTTTGATACATCGACGGCTGGCATTTTGAACGTTGTCTGTAAAAAAGACACCTGCCACAGAGAGAAAATGGCAAAATTAGAACAGAAATATGGAATATCTCCAACATCTGGCTATATAAGGGGCACTGCGATCCATATTAAGCGAGTGCGACTGTGTATGGGGTTCCACTATGGAGGACAAAGATACTATGTTGTAATAGGATCTCATGCCGAGATATTAATGAGACAGAATGCCGCAGACTAGTGCTATATAAGGTTATTGCGTGATGTGTATATTGTATTCTTCATTTATTACGTCCGGCTCGGGGGCAAAGCCAATGCAACTAAATCACTTATTGGTAGCTGATGGTGGGTTACCGGACCGTGTCTACCGGTTAGTGCATGCGGGTGGACAATATAGGAGGACAAAAATTGCACAATATGCTGGGATTAGTGCGCTAAAACCACACGCGGTTACATCGGATATAGATCGCCGCGAAGGATCGTTGATGCTTGCCCCGTTATATACGAATTGGCCAATCAAATATTTATATTGTCAGTTCTCAGCAATGAAAGTGGACCTCTTCTCACATACGGAGTATAATATACTACCGCTGAAAATGATCCCTGATTCAGACAATCCCCTTGTTTTTATTTCCTTTTTATTTTCTTCCCTGCTACTCATAAGCTCCTCGGCCCCTTTTTATGTTATAAATATTCTAGCCACTTTGGTTGTCAATGGAGATCCAGATCTTGAGATAGACCACAGCCCGGTATGGCGGGTTCAATTACTGATGCCGCCGAAACGGGCAACAAAGGACCAGAAATGATGGCGGTGATGTGGTCAATGACAACACTTGCCACAGTTCTCGTTATTGCTCGTTTATGTGTCCGGCAGCGAATGTTACGCAACTTCGGGTTCGATGACTGGTTGATCGGAGCATCTATGGTGATTATCCTATCTGTTTCGGCTCTAAGAAAACTTCTGGACCAAGATCTCTGACATACACTACTTCAGATCTTTGGGATAATCTTCGTTGTGACTGCGACAGTCTCAGTGACTTATGGATATGGACGACACACGAGCAATCTTGGACCGAGGGCCACTGAGCTCGCCCTGATGTGGAATATGATCTCGTTCATTTTCGGAATTATATCCTTCGCAATACCGAAACTGGCGGTTGCCGCACTGCTCCATCGAATACTGAACCCAAGCCTCATCCAACGCATCATAGTGTGGGGTCTTGTCATTCTGGTTGCTATCATTGCCCTCATCAACATCCTAATCTACGTTACCATGTGCAATCCACCACAGGCACTCTGGAAACCTTCGATGGTACTGAAAGGGGAGGGGACGTGTAGGAATGTTTGGATTCTTATAAACTATGCTACATTCAACGGAGGTGAGCGATGTTCGATGGATCTGATTCTCACGAGAGTGAGTGATTAACGCCATGCATGAACAGCTTTCTCCGCATTCGTCGATCTTTTCCTCGCAATTTACCCCGGCGTCGTTCTGTTCAAACTTCAAATGTCATTGCGCAAAAAGATTGCATTAACTGCTGCGCTTGGTCTGGGTTCAATGTATGGAAGTCTGGCAATTATCTCTTCAAGCGCCCCCAAAGCTAACAATTGCGGTCTATTCTAGTGCGGCTGCAACTGCAATGGTCAAATGCGCTCAGATCAAGGGCCTGGCTGACCAGAAAAATCCAACTTGTTAGTCCTCTTTTCTGAGTTTGATCCTAACCTTCCAAATGCTAACGCTGCCCCATGAATTAGTTAGCACTGTACCTCTCGTAGTTTGGACAAAGTGAGCTATTCCATCTTCCAGACCATGTACTATACTAATAATCTCCAGTGTTGAAGCCAATGTCGTTGTCATTGCCGCTTGTATACCAACATTACAACCAATGCTGGAACTCATTCTGAGAAGGCTGAAACTGGTTTCAACTTCTAAGGGTCACTCCAAGCCATCATCCTATGCACAACACAAGATATACGACAACCAATCCAGTTCCCGGGCTCACGTGTCGAAAAAGGACAGACCGACTCCAGTGCGGAAGGAGAGCCAGGAAAGCATTCTCAATGACCTGGACCAATACCAAATACGGCGCACGGATGAGGTTTGCGTTGAATATGAGATGCAACCGAAGGCATCTCCAAAATAAGTAGCTCGGTTACTGAATTTTACGACATACTCAAAATTAATCAAATATTTAGACTTACCTCGTTATATCTGTTTTGGTAGTCTTAGATATTTCCTTAGTATTCTTTTATATTTCTTCCCTTTATTAGTGCTACAGCTAGAAGGGTAAGAAGGACTAGTTAGCCACGGTCTATATGTCACATACTTTCATATGCAAATCATATGCCGGAGATTAGGACTAGGAGCTCTTGAAACAAGTTCATCAATTTATATGAAAATAATTAACCTCGCAATATTTTCTGCTGGAAAAGGCCCAGTGGTCCTTGGAAATCCTCGTGCAGGCCGCACTTGCTATTGCAAGCAAACCCAAAGAAAACTGGCGTCGAACACCCATGTGGACATTTCTTCCTTTTTTCCCATCAGAATCTATTTCTCTTTCTCTACCTACACTTATGTTTTCCAAACTTTATAATTCTTTGCGAAGAAGTGTGTGCCAACGACGCGTTGGTGGCCAACCTGAACCTAAGGACAAGGGACATCCCACGGAGAGAGTGATCTACTAAAGATTGCTGGGTGCATTATTGCTGGATGGATAACTCCAGCGCTTTCGATTTTTGGTACGTTCAGTTGTCTTACGAACATGACCAGAAGTCCCCAGAACCAACAGCTTACCTGGGTGTGTCCGTCAGTCGGACGGACACCTTATGGTTAACCTCGCATCGGAATTCATCGCCATACGATACAACCCGGCATATTTCTTACCGGTAGCAATAACGAGCGTCCGCACCCCCGGCCGCCCACAACATTCAATCGATAAAAAGCCCTCGTATCGGGACGATTACGCATTTCTTCTTGTCAAAGGATCCGATTTACATACGTTTCAGCGGTGTTTCGAATGCAAATCCTTTCTATATGATCACTGACCTCCCTAGGTAGGTCGACATATTAGACCCACTATCAATCTCTCGGTTCTACGATATCAAGTCGACAGTGGAAACGAATCAGTTGATAGTGTACAAGCATGGCTCCTTGACGGACCTCACTGTTGGGCGTCTCGTCAAAATGACCGGGCATCCTCCTCAGGGCAGTGTCCATTGGACCTGTCTCCGGCAGATATAGCTCCTCTCTCGGTCGATGAAGAACAGTTGTTGGGAGACATAGGGGACCAGCTCCGGCTCGATTCTGGACATATTACTGGTGTTTCTGCAGACTAACGGTGGTTTTGTTGAGTATTCCTCACAACTCCAGTAGCAGTCCGGGTCAAGGCGTACTTCCACACACTTCATTGTCCTGCGTCCTTTTCTTTAAAAAAAAAAAAAATAAAGAAAAAAATGCGAACCCCTTCGCTGGCGTCACCGTATAGGTATAATCGCGGTGATTACCTCATCATTAGGGGCCGCCAAATTAAACTTCTCTTGACTTCCTTCTTCTTAAACACCTTCCCCTTCCTTGATCTATCTCACTTAGCCTTTTGATCGACGCTACTCAAAAAAGTCACAATGCCATTCCCTTCAATCGCTTCAATCTACCGGCCGGTCAGAAAGGGCGTAGTGTTTTTATTCACAAACATGCGCTTCAATGCCGTTCTCATGTCATATGTTTTTCTTGCATGGGGTTTGAGAAAGCAAAAGAATACCCAACTTAGAAAGAAGCTATCATGCCATTAACGAGAGGAAACCGACTGGAACCCACGGAGAGTGAGTCGATTGGAGGACCGAACTTGACGGATTTCTAAGGATTGAGATGACCCGGGGACAACCAAAGTGGCTTTACATAGAGAATTCTGGTGGTTGTCTTTTCTTTCTCTTTTATCGATAGTTGAAGCTGGGAGCCTGATTTAATTTGCTTGAATATGTATAAATTAGCGTCTCAAAACTTTCTTAGGGTTCTATCTTCAAGGTTGTTTATAGTGTTAATAGTCAAGGTGCTATTGAATTTCTTACCTTCTTAGAGGCTTCGCCTACATAGTACGTGGCCTGTTATGACTGCTAAAAGACATAAATGGGAAAAACATGTGCAGTCTCTAAGATACATATTGAGCCAAGTCAAATTACAACCGGATTCTTAGAATCCGGTCCCGTAACTCGACCAGGGAATCCACCGGTATTCATACTCCTGTTTTATTGGCACGGCGTTATCTTGAACTAAAGCCATTAAGTCCGTTTATTCTACTGCAGCTACGTATCTCTGTCAATGATTTCTAAATGACTGTCCTAACTCCGTATTTTACACATGGCGCGACGGAGGGTGCCTACCTAGGGATTTATTAGTTTCCGCATAAACCAATACCCTATGGTAAAGCCGTCACCAGCATCTGCTTTCTTAAATTGTTCAAAGTCAAGCTGCACGACTTCCCCCTGTTCGTGTTATCTTAAACCCCAGCTGGTACCACTACACCAAGTCACCCACCGTCTATAGCAGGAACTCCAACAATGAGCCAGATCCCAGAGAATAAGGCCGCCTGGCTGTCTGCCTCCGGTGTCACGCCGCTTGAGATCGGCTCAGCGCCGTACACGTCACCCGGGCCTCACCAGATCGTGGTGAAGAATAGTGCACTGGGCATCAATTCGGTCGACTGGGCCAAGCAGATGCTCGGCGAAGCCTTGTTAGCCCATATCAGCTATCCCTTTATTCTTGGCGAGGATGTGGCCGGCACCGTTATTGAGGTGGGCGAGGGAGTAGAGCGCTTCCGCGTCGGCGACCGTGTTGTGGCTGCGGCTGCTGCCATCTCCACCAACACCTCCCTCGAAGGCGGTTTCCAGCTGTATACAGTCATCCGCGAGTGGCTGGCCGCACCACTACCAGACAGCATTACCTTTGAGCAGGCCAGCGTAATACCGCTGGCCATCTTCACAGCCTCTCATGGCCTGTTTGACACCGGCTACCTGGGCCTTGACTTACCCACCGTGCCTGCACGTCAGTCTAGCCGCGACAAGCGTGCTGTCATCATTACCGGCGGTTCATCCGCCGTTGGTAGCACCGCCATCCAGCTCGCCGTGTCCGCCGGTTACGAGGTTGTGTCGACGGCGTCGCCTAAGAACTTTGACTACGTTAAGAAGCTCGGTGCCTCCCACGTGTATGACTACAAGGGTGACACAGTGATCGACGATATCAGCGCTGCTGTTAAGGGGCTTCACCTTGCCGGCGGCTACTCCATCGGCGACGGCTCTGTCGACCTGCTGGCTGCCGTACTATCCAAGCACCAGGGCCCCTCTATCAATAAATTCATTGCTCTTGCTGGCGGCCAGCCCGGTGGCGGCAACATTGACCCGAGTATCGAGCTCAAGTTCATCCTGCTTGGCCCGGACGCGGCCGGCTCCGGCTCTGTCGTGAGCAAAGTCTATAAGAGCTACCTCCCGGATGCACTCGCCAGCGGGCAGTTTGTGCCAGCACCCGAGGCGGTCGTCGTGGGCAAGGGGCTGGAAAAGATCCAGGAGGCTTTTGGGATCCACATACAGGGTGTGTCAGCAAAGAAGATTGTTGTGTCACTATGAAACCTAGACATCTATATACAATTGGCGTCTGCTCAGTCTGGCGGTTATCTAGCTATCTACTGCTCATTTTACCTTTTGATCTACACTCTGTCAGGATTTAGTATTAGTTCACCACAGTACCCATCATTCAACATACAAGCTATAACACTAGAACCCTGGAATAGCAGCGCTAGAGGGCGCGACAAATAGAAGTATCATCCAAATATTCTGTATCCATTTCGTGGGTCGCAGAAGGACGGGCAACCGGTAACATTACTAGATCATTGAGAAGGAGTGCTTTCTATAGGCGCACAATATGTACATAATTCTATAGCTTGGCACGTCCCTATACTCTATAGGAGGTCATAGAGACGCGGGTTACCCCTATGTCTCTCTATACGTTAAATACAGTGCCAAAAGTCTCAGTGTTGTTTACAAATCTCATATCCATCTAGACATCCTCTCAAGATCGAGCATAAACTAAACATAACTAAACAATCAAACGCAACAGAAAACAAACGCCGAATCATCAACCAACTAGCCGATACCCTAAGAGAGCTATATGACCTAGACATACAATTAATAGAACCTTTGTCCGTTCTCCGTCTTAGGCTATGGTCGACTCTTCAGTGGAGTCCATGCCCTCCTTGGTGTTCGGCGCGGTCGAGGCAGGATTTCCCTTAATAGCCTGCAGTTGCTTCACTTTCCGGATATCAACCCAGCCGAGGCCCCAGCCAAAAACAAACGTGGCTACACTGACTCCTATACCGAGATACATGACATGGCTAATTGCCGTGGTGTAGCACTTGAGCGCGGCTGTGAGCTTATCTCCCAAGACAAAGCTTCGGATTGAACTAAGTCCAGTACTAAGGAGGACGTCCGGGTTGACGCCAATCTCGCCGATGTGCTTCTGGAGCTCCTTGCGTAGCCCATTGGTAAAGACGGAATTGGCAGCAATGAGGAAGACGGCACCGCCCATGTTTTGACAAAAGATGATAATAGCCATGGCAATAGGGATCTGTGGAGGGGGGACAAGATTTTGGATAGCTATATAAGGCTTCAGGAAAAAGTCAGTAAAATTCGATTTGGAATATAGAGATAGAATAATGTGAAGCTCACCGCCGAGGTCATAGCACCGCTACCAACACCATAGAGGACTTGGTACCCAAGCCATTTTGAGGACGAAGTCGTGGGCTTAATCATAGACATAAGGCCATAGCCAATGGCGGTCATGGCGCTTCCTCCCAGATTCCAGGGCAGGTAATACCCTAAGATCTCGGCTGCGAAACGTTAGTTTTACAATGGCTTTTAGTTTTCAAAGAGTTTTCAAAAGAAAAAGTGGGACAACGAACTCATCATTCCCGAGAGCATAGTGAAAAGCACCAAGCCTAAAGTCGCTGGCAGCATATGCACACCGCTCATGATAGGGCTGTTATTGAGCACGATTTGGAAGTAAATGGCGAGGTAGTACTCGGCCACCAAAATAGCACCGAGAAGGAAGAACAAGTTACCGGCAGCAGACCACACAGTGCGCTTTCTGATCATGGCAAACGGTACCATGGCGCCGTCCCCCTGTTGGTATTCCCAGACAAGGAAGAGGATAAAGGTGACGGCGGCGCCAACAAGAAGGCCGATAACTACGGGGCTATTCCACGGGTGCATGGTACCGCCGTATTGCAATGCAAGCAAAAACATGACAGCAGCGGGACTAACGAGCATAAAGCCTGGAAGGTCCAGAGACTTGATGGCGGTGCTGAGGACTTGCCTGGGGGCCAGTTTGGTGGTGGGCTCGGGGATCTTGAAGAGGAACAGCAGAATGGCCAGAGCGCCGCCAATGGGAAGGTTGATGTAAAAGCCTGCAAGAGAAAGTAAAGGATTAGCAAGATGGTGGAGGTTAGGGACCTCAGTGAAAACAGCCAAACCACTTACACCAACGCCACGTAATATTTTGGGTGAATGCACCGCCAAGGATGGGGCCCAGGGCGATACCGAGCTGGCCGATGCCCATGTTCATGCCCAGAAACTGTGCTTGCTTCCTGCGCGGCAATATAACTGAGATGATGGTCATGGCGCCGTTTCCAATACCCGACGAGCCAGCACCGGCAATGGCTCTGCCGACAATGAACATGGGCGATGATACGGCCGCTCCACAAATGGCAGATCCGAGCTCGAAGAGAAAGAAGAAGGCGAGGAAGGACCACTGTTCCCAACTTTCAGAATCCACACTTTTATCTCTTCCTAAGGAACCACAGAATGACCTACCTTGATGTTAAAGTGGCTGTAGATCTTGCCAGTGAGAGGCTGGAGGGCGGAGCTGCCGAGCTGGTACGCGCCACCATACCAGCCGACGTCAACTAGAGAGTTGAATCGCTCTGTGATAGCGGGGGTTGCGGTAGACACGACGCACATGTCGAGGAAGACGAGAAAGTAGGCGATTGTAACAGGACCTAGGATAGACCATAAGGCCACGCCGCTGGGAAAATCGCTCTCATCTTCTGCGGCCTCATCCTTGGAGTCGACACTATCGGAGCCGCACTTCTCAAGATCACCAGTCTCCTCCGGTAGTACCTTGTTCGTGTAAACTGATCTGTTGGAGTCAGTCATGGTCACGGTTGCGGTTGTGGTCGTGGTTATGGAACTGGAGGTGACTATTGCTCTCTCAGTTGGAAGTGATATAACATCAACTGTACGAATACAAGAGTTTATAAAGGGAGCAAGAGATTAGGACAGGGACCGAAATCTTACTGGGCGTAAGTGCTGGGCGTAAGTGAAGCCCTTTAGGGCTAGTTAGTATAAGTCGAGACCGGGTAGTATAAGTCGGGACCGGAATCTGGAAATCCGGCCCTTAGTCCTGCCCCTGCCGACGGACTATAGAGGTTATGTCCGGCCTACGCTGGAACGCATCATATTAATAATTGTAGGAATTGGAAAGATTACAGCGCCTGGTTGGCTGTAGTTTCAAAACAGCTTGGGCTTTTTACAGTTGTAGCCCAAAACGCTAATATCGATAATATAATATTAAAGTAGATTATTATAGTTATTTCTTAGTTAAAGCCCTATCGATATACGAGTACCCTATAGTATATACCACAGTTACTTTAACGATATAGGAAGTGTACGGAAGAAAAAGAAAAAAGAAAAAAAAGGAACGTCCCTAGGAAGGCTCGAACTTCCAACCTCCTGATTAACAGTCAGACGCGCTAACCAATTGCGCCATAGAGACATGCTCATGGAAAACTGCCATTCAGCTATCATTTAATACATAGCGGGTGATCAGTAGCTTTATTAGCACCACCAGTATGTCAAGCCTTTACATAGTAGATATTGTCTGATCTTCATAGTCAAACAAAAAACTCATCTAGCCATAATGTGGGACTCATCAAGTATCCTGCCTGTTGACTATATACCAACCCATCTGTACCTGCTTCCGTGGTCGCCACTCTACCCGTATCAGCATCCGCTCTGGCTCCTGCTCTATCTCCTGCTTCTTTTGCTTTATGTGCCTCTTCCTGTTGGGCCAGCAGTTCTCTATCGTGGTACGCCGACTGGAACATGCGCAGGCCGCGGGCCAGTTGCGTGAATACACCATCGGCTGGCGCCGGCTGCTCCCCAGCCTCAGCAGCAGCGAGCTCTAGCTTGTCTGCCGTGCAGGATAGCAGGACGGGCAGATCGATGAGACCGCACACGGTGGCTGGATCCCAGCCACGCTCCTGGAGCGTGCTGAGTTGGTGCAGGGTGGCCACGCACCGTGCCAGCTGAGCCCACTGGATGAAAGAGACACCAAGAAGTCCAGACGGCGAGAGGGTCAAAAAGGTTGACGTGTAAGACTTGATCGCCAGCGCTGACTGCCAAAAGCAGGAGATACGCGTAGGCCCACATGTCGGCGGTGGCGGGCGAGCAGACTGCTGGATGTGGATGGTCTCGAAAATGCACATCTCCGTGTAGTACGTCTGAGCGAGGAGGTCTATTTATCGATTAGCAATGACTGGCTAATTTTATTCTAAATGGAAACCTGGGATGGCTGGACACCTACCAAAGTGCTGCTGGAATGCCGGAGGGATAGATGCCCTGAGCTCTTGTAGCTGCCCCATCAGCGCCTTGATGTACAAAAGAGCTTGAGGTGAAAGAGTCTCCGGTGGGGGTTGATCGGGGAGTCGGGCTCGCTCCCGGACCTGGGCAGCCTTCATGGCTAGCAGCTGCAGCCGGACCTGAATAGCCAGGGCAGTATCAGACGGACATTCTGCGCCGGCGCTATTGCCGCTGGCGATAATGGTAGCAAGGCCTTCGTCCATCTGAGGTATCCACTGCGGCGCATAAGCCTGGGAAAAGTAGTTTGAGACGGCCGAGCCAAGCACAAAGCAGCCTAGAATAGCTCGCTGGCGCTCGAGGTAGAGCTGGGTATCAGTCGCCCCAGCACTCGTTGTCGTTGTCTCCATCGCCGTAGTCGCCGTCGTGCTGCCATACACATCGTCAAAACCGCCTTTTGGTTCGAGGTGGCTTATTGTGCGCGAGATTTCCGGTACGGCTTGGTCGAGAAAACGCAACTCCCCTACCAACGATATGGCCAGCGCCATAAGTCGAGACAGACTGGGACGGCTGCCCAGGTGCTCCCAGCCCCACGCAATATAGACAAGGAGACCTAGCAGTAGATCGACTGTTTGCTCTTGTGGTTGCCGCTGGTTCGGCTGCGGCGACTGTTGGAGGAATGCCGTCTCGTAGAGCACACGCTTCAGCTCGAGGGAGCTTGCCCTCTTGTCCTCAGCCGATGCCGATGTTACGCAAACAATGGCGCGTAATAAAAACGGCCTGTCTAGCCGTAGCTGCTCCGCCGTGAGGTGGGCAGGCAAATGAACAAAGGGGAAGTGGTGCAGCATACGCGAGGAGAAGGTTTCAAGAGATATCGACGCAGAGGACGGAGATACAGAAGGCGACTTGAACACACCCGACACGGTCGATGAGAGGGGGGTGGCGATAGGGAAGCCGTTGGCGCTGAACCCGTTCACATTTCCCATCGCCCACCTAGGAGCAGAGGTACTGACGTCGTCGGTATCGGTATCGTCGTTGTTTTCACCGATAGAGGGGGCGCGCGAGTCCTTTACAGTGCCGCTCCCTTCGTTCCCTTCTACGGCTGCAGCTGGGTATGGAATGATGGGATGGGGTGGCTGTTGTTGATGTTGCTGGTGTTGTTGCGGATTTGATTGCTGTTGCCGCTGTTGCTGCTGTTGCTGCTGCTGCTGCGACGATGCATCGACTCTGCCGCCGTGGACGTTGCCCGCATTGATCAGTGAGGCGAGCTGGCCGAGTGTGCCCTCGAGTTTTGCGATACGGGCTTCCGACGGGTTTTGCTTTTTATCGCTGCGACGACGTAGCGCATCGGCGGGATGGCATGGGCGCTTGAGACGGTGGCACCTACATAAGGTATCCGTTCGTGTTAACGAGTGTCAATGGGTCAGTGCAAGAAGGGAACAGCCATCAAACGTAGCCCAGACTGACCTTTCGCATCCATTGCCCTCGGGACGAGGAATACACTTGCATTTGGTCTTGAAACAGCTTAAACACGCTTGGCCATAGGGCGCCGATCGGCCAGCCATTCTCTCTATAGCTGTCACTCCCCCGGTAGGGAGTAGTTGTTGATGCCGGGCTCTATACGGATGGGGGGTGTGGGTTTCCTTACAAGGTTGGATGGGAGTGCATACAGTCAGACAAAGGATGTACGAATAGCACAGCCCACTTTTAGTCTCCACCGGACATCCACGGGTATTTCCCAAGCGGCCCGATCATATCTGTACCAGGCCATGTGGGTCCCGAGCGCCATCAGCCGCGAAGCCGGCCACACTTTGCGCTGTGAGGCGTCGCTTTCGCACGCGGATCCCAAGAGCGGTAGGGCCGACGTCATTGTTGTCGACGGCCAGGCTGGCGCGACGGTGCTCGAGATCCAGGGCCCAGGGCCTTCCTTGTCTGTGTCATCCTGGGGAGTGGCAGCGAAGCCTCCGCGCGCCAAGACGCGGCCAACAAGAAAGAGATGTGCTGCAGGCGCTGGCACTGGCGCAATTCAAGAAGGAGCTGGAGCTGACTGTTGGGATCTCTGAGGCCGCCGCCACCGCTGTCATTTGAATCTTTTCCGCGCGGTGTTCTACTTCGCTCAGGAGGCCGACGGCGACCTAATCAGCTGTCTTGGCCCCCTCATCGGGTCTACCCTTTGCGGCGAGGGCAGCCCGTTAGTGGCGATGATGGAGGAAGCGCTGCTGTGTAAGCACTAGGCCCATTCTGTGCGCCTAGCCCCGTCGCTTCCACAGCTATCGACGCTACCTATCTCGGTAGGTAGTAGAAAAGTGGCCCACAAGAATCTGGCTGGGCACGTTCTGCAAGTCGGCGCTGGCACTGGTGCTGCCACTCGACGTACTCTTGAAGCGCTTGGCACGCCGAAAGTCCCTCTGTGGCCAGCTGATTCCTTAGCAGACGTCTTAGAAGATACACGGGTCGAGCTGGCCGACTGGGCCGACCTACTTGAGTTCAGCCAGCTCGACATCGACAGCGACCCGTCTAAGCAAACATTTACGCCCGAAAGCTACGACATCATCGTTCCTCTGAGCACGGCCAAGGATGTACCTGGCACCCTAGCCCATGTTCGCAGATTTCTAAAGCCCGCCGGCACGCTACTACGAGCAGAGGCGACTATCCAGAACCAGGCTAACGTCCCGTTCATCTTTGGCTTACTGCCTAACGAAACCTCGTTCTTTTCGACGTATTCCTAGGACAGCGTGCTTCGTTAAGCCGGTTTCAATGGTGCTGACCTTACCATCGGCGGCGCCACAATCTGCATCTTGTCTACAGTGCTGCTCGCCGAGCACCAGAAACCGGACCTGATCCGCGCTAGCAACCTGGGCGGCTTTGCCGTGCTGACTAGCAACAAGACACCTGCTGCGGCTGGTCTGGTCGATCTGCTGTCCCAGTGCATCCAAGATTTGACTAAAACCACTGTGGGCCATATCATGCTTGAAGAGAGCATCCTCGACGGGTATAAATCCAAGGTCTGCGTTTTCGTAACCCCACCATACTGGCCGATCTCAACGCCGCACGTATTGAGGATCTCCACGCCATGGTTATACATTGCGGCGGCCCGCTCTGAATCACGACCGGCGGTGCCGTTGACACCGAGCGGCCCGAGCATGCGGTTTCCCAGGGCTTCCTGCTCGTCCTCCGGAACAAGTACGTCGGCAGGCACAACCTCTACCTGGACCGAGCAACCCACCGAGGGCATCGTGCCGCCCATCGCCGATGTCTCCGTCTTCAATATCCCGAGCCGAGACGTCGAAGCCGCTGCTTAGGCTTCCTCGTCTTCTTTATTATGTCTTGTTTATTTAACTCAAGAGTTATATAAGGTTACGGCGTGGCGTTTTAAATCATAATAATCGTATACACATACTGAATTTAACTTAGATGCTATTGCTTCCAGCACTCTCATCGCTTGAATCGTCTGTCGAGTAGGCCTTAGCAGCACTAGGCTCTAGAATCTTCGCCGTATTTGTTGAACTCTCATCTAGTGGCATATATTGACAGATGGAAAGGTCAAATGAGAATCTGAGATTAGATGCCTCACCGGACAATTGCACCGATATAAGCGTGACCACAATTTTGGAACACCCGAAGCTGATTATTTTTCTGAGAGAAAGGGCAGGTCTGAATGAATGAGGTGAAGACCTGAGAGGCCAGGCGGTGTGTAGTCACATTGCCAAGCACGGGTGAACTGCCACCGCCTTCCGAAATTTTTTGAGTCCCGATATGATTGCGAAAAAATTGGAGATATTCATCGAGTCTACAACTTGCTAAAATGGGCTCCTCTACTACTCAACTTACCTCGAAGGTGACTTCGGGCTCCCCTTACCAGCTTGACAAGCCCCAGGTTAGTACCAATGACTCCCAAGATCCAAATTCGCAAGTACTTATCTTCACTTCAATTAGGCGCTCAAAGCTTCCACCGCGCTGCTGAAGCACATCAGGTCTACTCAGCAGGAACAGGAGAAGACTGCCACCAAGAAGACTCTGATTGGCGACGGTGACTCCGATGACGAGGACAGTGCGACCAAGAACGAGGCCATCTGGCTCGTTCTCACCACCAAGCAGCACGTGGTGGACAAGAACCGCCTGAAGCCAGGCAAGATCAGCATCCCTCACTCTCTCAACACATCTCCCTCGCTCAGTATCTGTGTGATCACTGCCGACCCCCAGCGTGGCGTTAAAGATATCATTGCCGACCCATCCTTCCCCCAAGGCCTTTCCTCCCGCATCGAGAAGGTCATTGGTTTCTCTAAACTTAAGGCCCGCTACCAGAGCTTCGAGAGCCGTCGTCAATTGTTCGCCGAGCACGATGTCTTCCTGGCTGATGACCGTATCGCCATGCGCCTGGTGCAGACCCTTGGAAAGATCTTCTACAAGTCCAGCAAGCGCCCAATTCCTATCCGTATCGCCGAGATCGAGAAAGTGGATGGCAAGAGGGTCAAGAAGGACACCAAGAAGAATAACACTTCCTCCAAGGAAGAGAAGCCCGCCTCTTTCGCCTCTCCTCTTATTGTTGCCAAGGAGATCGAGCGCACCCTCAACTGCGCCTCCGTGCAGCTCGCACCATCTACCACCGCTGCCGTCCGGGTCGGTTCGTCCAAGTTCACAGCTGAGCAGCTATCTGAGAATATTGCCGCTGTTGTCAACGGTCTGACCGATAAGTTTGTCGCAAAGGGCTGGAGAAACATCAAGGCTCTTCACATCAAGGGCGCCAACACCATGGCCCTGCCTATTTGGCTCGCCGATGAGTTGTGGGTGGAGGATGCCAACGTGCTGGAAGCTGCCCCTGAGACCGAAGCTATCAAGGACTCCAAGAAGCGCAAGTCCGCTGGAGATGGTAAGCTGCTCGAGGAGAAGAAGACCAAGAAGACCAAGTCTGCAGAGGATGAGGAGGAGGCTGCATCTGTGGCTGCGCGGAAAGAGAAGCTCCAGCAGCTCAAGGCTCAGGCTCTCGAGGATGGTGACACAAGCAAGCCGGCCGCAACGAAAGTTGGCGGAAAGAAGAAGAAGAAGGCGACTTCATGATAGTTATAGCTCTTAATGTTTTCTGCATGTAAAGGTATTTCTGGCGTACAAAATATCACGTGTCTATTGTTCCGACAATTCATATTGTGCCAGTAATTGAAATCAGTCTGACAGTAGACAAACTAAGCATCGAGATACAACATAATAGAGTAGCTCCAATAGATTAAGTCCTTCCTATCGCCGCCGCGTGCGTCATTTCAAAGAATGATGAGGCTATAGTCCGTATATGACCACCGCATTAACCGAGTCCGACCTCGGGAGCCAGTCTTGGCAATCCCGACGATAGCCACCCAAAGTCACATCACCGTGAATCGCCGAGCTTGAATCTTGCTCTTTCTTCCCACGCCTGGAAGAACAACGCCAAATCATTCCACCAAGTTGTCATTATGATTCCCATCGCTAGGCACTCTGTCCTGCGGGCTGCCCGCTCTCAGCTCCAACCCACCCGCAAGCTGAGCCAGCCCGCTTCTTCGGCGCTCGCCCGCCTCCTCTCGACCCTCGCCGTTCTCGAGCAGCGCAATGGCAAGCTGGAGTCTTCGTCTTTGTCTGCGATTGCGGCTGCACAGAAGCTTGGTGGCTCAGTAACGGGTTTCATTGCTGGCTCCGGTGTCAAGGGCACCTCCGCTGCCGAGGCTGCTAGGATTAAAGGTGTTGAGAAGGTGCTGGCCGTGGATAATGACGCATACGAGAAGGTATATACCCCGGCATCCTCCGAAACCAATTTCGGTAGAAGGAGCCTTGACTAACAATTGGGTCTCTGGCACAATAGGGCCTCCCCGAAAACTATGCCCCTCTCCTCGTCGAGAACATTAAGAAGGGCGAATTCACCCACGTCGTTGCAGGCCACTCTGCCTTCGGAAAGAGTCTTCTGCCCCGCGTGGCTGCTCTCTTGGATGTGCAGCAAATCTCGGACATCACCGGCATCGAGAGCGAGGACAGTATGTGAAAACCCGAAAAAGAAGTTTGACATGTGATCCGACCACTGACTGCAATCCAGCTTTCGTCCGCCCCATCTACGCTGGCAACGCAATTCTGACCGTCCAGTCAACCGACAACGTCAAGGTGATCACTGTGCGAGGCACTGCCTTCCAGGACGTCGAGACCGAGGGCGGCTCCGCCGAGGTCTCCGAGGGAGCGGACCCCAACGCCCCCGCGATGACTGAGTGGGTGTCCGAAGAATTGGCCAAGTCAGAGCGCCCGGAACTCGCCACAGCCACCCGTGTCGTGTCTGGAGGCCGTGGCTTGAAGTCGAAGGAGGAGTTTGACCGGATCATGCTTCCCCTGGCGGATTCTCTCGGCGCTGCTATTGGTGCTTCGCGTGCTGCTGTCGACAGTGGCTTCGCCGATAACAGTCTGCAGGTTGGCCAGACTGGTAAGAACGTTGCTCCTCAGCTTTACCTCTGTGCCGGTATCTCCGGTGCTATCCAGCACTTGGCTGGTATGAAGGACAGCAAGGTCATTGCTGCTATCAACAAGGATCCCGAGGCTCCCATCTTCCAGATTGCTGATGTTGGCCTCGTCGGTGACCTGTTTGACAAGGTTCCCGAGCTGACCGAGAAGGTCAAGAGCGCCTAATTTGCTTGCACGAATAGTTTCTCTTTTGTATCATCACCTATCGAGCAGGTTGATACCTCTTTTTTGTCTGTTAAATGAGCCGTACAGTATACCATTGACTAGAGGACTAGGATCAATTTTTGGTTTACAATACCAAATGTCCATCATTTTTGATCTTATTTCAATATCCTTAGAAATGATCGAATGCTTTAAACTTCACAATGTACTTCCAAAACAATATAGCCTATGAATAAAACGCTGCTTGAGTACATTTGTAGATACAGCTTTGAAGAACAGCCCGTAAAAGGACTATGTGGCCAAAACGGGACTAGCGCGTTCTGCACGCGTCGCGCGTCTATCAGAGGGGAATTACATCGGAGACCATTCAATGACATGAGATGTCTGAACGCTTGAATGCTTCCCTCCTCGCCATCATTCCTATCCTCGTTTGACCCCGCCCTTCACCTCCACTCCGAAGGTCCTGGCGACACAAGCCCACCGTCCGAATCATTCTCCGACGATATCGAGGCAATCCACCTGCACCGCCACGAACAAACCCGGAACCGAGTTGTGATTCAACATCGAGCGTGGGATCTGTCTGATGTGTTTCGTAGCGAAGACGACATACGACCTTGTTCGGGATTCCAAGCCTGCATTGCCTGGTATAGTGGTACTGACAACCACATAGTAGATACGCCGACGAAGAACGTTGCAACCCCGAGACCATTTTCTTGCACTCCTACTCGAAATCTCTCTTTTATCCCGTCCTCGCCGCCCGTTTCGAAAATGCCGTTTATAGCGTCTCCGGCGCTTGTACCCACGTCTGGCAATGCGACCAATGATTCGCAGAAGAGGAAAGGCACAAATGCGGAGGGAGACATACAGCCGACGGAGCCGAAGCGCCAGCGCATGGTTGGAGGCTTCGTTGACGACGACGATGATGACGAAGAAGACGACCTCTCTGCTTTCCGGGACGAGCATCTGAAGAATCAATATGACCTGCCCGGGCACTTCTTCCAGGAGCCTCCGGCGGAACTCCCTAATATACTGGCAGCGCCGCCGGCAACTACGAAATTGAACAGAACCACCAATGCTACACCTAGCTCTTCCCGAACACTATTACAACTGACGCCTCGCCCCGCTCCCGCGGCTCCCAAGAGGTTCCAGATCAAGACTTGTGCTGGCAAGACCCATAATGTCCCGCAAAGGAAGGCCCAAGCGCCCGTTTCCTATCAACAAATGATCGCCAATAGGTCTGAGAAAGAACCTGGAAAGGCGACGAAGAGCTATTACGGTATCGACATCCACAAATTGCTGGACGATGCTGCCAAGGATGAAAAGCCCACGAACACAGTCCCTCAACCCCAAGTCCAGCAAACCATCGAAGCGAATTACGTAAGCTCAAAGCAGAAGAAGATAGACTCTGCAATGTGGACAGAGAAATACCGTGCACGTAAATTCACCGATCTCATTGGAGATGAACGCACCCATCGATCAGTCCTACGCTGGCTCAAGGGGTGGGAGTCAATTGTATTCCCTGGTTTAGCCAAATCTCGACCGAAGAAGCTTGTCAAGGAGGATGAAGAAGAGTACATCCATCGAAAGGTTCTCTTGTTGAGTGGTCCCCCCGGACTTGGAAAGACGACATTAGCACATGTATGTGCCAGGCAGGCTGGCTTCGAAGTGCTTGAAATCAATGCAAGTGATGACCGCAGCAGGGATGTGGTCAAGGGCCGCATCCGTGACGCGCTGGGAACCGAGAACGTCAAAGGTATGAACGTGGAGATTGGCAATAAAAAGGTTCGCCGTACCGGTAAACCCGTATGTGTCGTGGTGGACGAAGTCGACGGTGTTACCGGTGGCTCTGGAAGTGGTGGTGAAGGCGGTTTCATGAAGGCCCTCATTGACCTTGTTTTGCTTGACCAACGAAACTCGAAATCGTCTTCGGAGGGCAATAATGGCAAGAAGCGCAAAGGTGACAACTTCCGATTCATGCGGCCGTTGATTTTGGTTTGCAATGACCTCTACCACAGCAGCCTCCGGCCTCTCAGGGCATCGTCCATTGCAGAGATGATCAATGTCCGCCAGGCACCATTGGAGAATGTTGTTCAACGAGTCAAGGTTATATTCGGCCGCGAAGGCATCCCCTGTGACAGTGATGGGGCTCGGAGGCTCTGCGAAGCAGCCTGGGGCATGGCGACCCGAAAAAAGCGCAGTGGCAAATCCCAAGGGTCTGCCGAGGGCGACATTCGTAGCGTGCTAGTTGCCGCAGAATTTGTGGCTCACAAGCTTCGAAACGAGTCGTTGCCATCCTCGCTCAGACTGACGAGGAACTGGCTGGAGACTCGAGTTCTCAATGCATCGGCCGAGGGTAGTAGCGCGTTCTTCAAAGAGTTAAGTCGCGGGGGCGTTCGTGAGATTGTGAACCGTGTGTTCACAGAGGGAGCTGGCTTCTCTGATGCTCCTGTCGGCATGAGTTTCCAAGATCGTTTCGATACTCCCAACAGCCGTCTTCCTGTCGGCGTGGCGGATCTGCGCAAGCGACACGCAATCAATCGATTGCGGGAAATGATCGATTCTAGCGGTGATCATGACCGCTGTGTATCCGACTGCTTCGCTTCATACCCCATCCAGCAATACCAGGATGATAATTATTTCTCCAAACCCAATGCCGCCCATGACTGGCTTCATTTCCATGACTCAATTAGTTCGAAAGTCCATTCATCCCAAGAGTGGGAACTGATTCCATACCTCAGCCAGTCGGTTGTCGCATTCCATCATTTATTTGCTACGGCTACTGGCAGAACCACCGACGATGACAAGAATGATGATGACGAGGAAGCCGAAGAGCCCCACCCTTTCTCAGGACCCAAAGCCGACTTTGCTGCCTTCGAAGCACAAAAGCAGAACCGCGCAGCCATGACTGCATTCCACGCCTCCTTCTCGGCACCTATGGCTCGCATTTTCCGGTCAAATGAAAGTATAGTCACAGATCTAGTCCCTTACTTGGTTCGTATGCTATCACCAGACGTCAAGCCGGTCATCATCCGTGGAAACGGGGAGCAGAGAAGCACTGCCACTGTCCGCAAAGAATCCGAACGTGCCCTTGTCCAGTCTACCGTGCGTGTTATGACCGGGATGGGCGTGACTTTTGAAAAAGTCCGAGTGGAACACGAAGGAAGCCACGGTGGATGGGCGTATAGAATGGAACCGTGAGTGGGATTCCAAATCTTCCGAACATAACAAAGCTAATATACCCTCCAACAGACCAATTGACTCACTTGTGGTCTTCTCGAAGATCAAAGGTAGCACCATTGAGGCTTCTGGCGGTACAGCACCGGTACGGTATGCCGTCCGCCAGGTGCTAGACCAAGAGTATCGCAAGGCGACGACGCGCAAGCAGTCTGATGTTGTGAGCACTTCTAGAGTCGGCGTCAAGGGCCGTGGGAATTCTGATGATACGGCCGCAGCAAAAGCAATCAAAGAAGCGGCTGTCAAACGTGACTTCTTTGGTCGGCTGATTGAGGAGCCTGCGTCACAGCCTAAGGATCTGAACAGTGCAGACGGCTGGGCCGATGAGTCGTCCAAGGCTGGGCGGAAGGTCTGGGTTACTTTTCACGAAGGCTTCTCGAATGCGGTCCGGAAACCTATATCTATGGGAGAGTTAATGGCTGGGTTGTAATATACGCATTGAGTTCGAAGTTGCCTCTGTTAAGCGTTTTGCCATGGTGTGCTGGAGTCTTCTTTTCCATGCATTTGTTGCATACCTTCTATAACGATCACTGTTTCCTACAAGATATTGAATACCAGCCCTGGGGACATTACTACATTACTTGATTGATATCAGGACTTGAAACATAAGAGATCTTCCTCTATTTCCTCTCAAGGCATATTTGAACACCAACAAGTAAACCAGCGAAACCCAGATTATGGCGGTTGAAAATTAACAAAGACAGACACATTGAGACATAAATGCAAAGCACCAATAATTAAATATAGTATGTGGTATCCAAATCATTCCATCGTTGAGGCGAAAGGGCGAACAAGTGCACCCAGAAATCGACGCGGCAGCGCATAACATCAAAAACAAATGCAACCAAGCACCAAAATAGACAAGAGAAAAGAAACAAGCCCCGAAGTAGCTAATCCAGGCCTCGCGAGTGGATCGAGCGGGTATAATGATAATCACAGAAGTAGATGCATCAATCCATTGTGTCAACCCACTTAGCGCAGGCTGAAGTAGGTGGCAAGAGCCTCATTGTGTAGCTTCTTCTTCTCCATTTCTGTGGCGGCATTATTGGAATCGGAGCTCGAGGACTTTGAGCTCAGCGAGTACCACTTTTGATTCTTGGTAGATGCGTCGGGTGCATTAAGTGTTGTGGCCGTGGACACGGTGGAATGCGTTGAGGCTGCGCTCGATGTGGTCTTGGAAGATGACTTGGAGGAGTTGCCGAACATTTTGGGCGTATGTTTGGGATTTTGAGGATTCGGTGAGAACTTGGTTCGTTGAAAATGGATGTACATATGTATAGATGTAAACTGTAAGCGTTTCGCGAAAAGAAAACGAAGTTTGAGTTGGTTTGGCGTTTATAGTTTGGGAGCAAGGTGCAGAAGGAAAAAGGATATCACTCTTTGGATCTTGTCTAATGCTTTGCAATGAATTGGAATGTTTCTTTCTACGGGGATGCCAGGGTCTTTATATAGAGATGTTGATCACCACACACATCATTTACTCCGTGCTTGAGTCACTCCGAGAAAGAAAATCTCAAAACGCCAAAGCCCCACCTCAGCCCACCTCAGTCATCGTATACATCAAGTCTAGAAGCTTCGTACTCTAAAATCTACGCGGGTTAGGCCCAAGAACGACGTCAGTCACAGCCGCCTTATGTGTGGGGCGAACCGTCGGAGTAAGGATCGGACTTGGAAGTTTTGCTGAGGGGACTACACGAGGTTAGAGTGGAAACCCAAAAGCATCCAATAAATTGCTGAGGAATTGACCAATGAAATGTAGAGAAAGTCAAGGATATGATAAATCAATGCTTAGCCCTGGAGTCATCTGGGGCATGTGTACGCAGTATCCATCCTCTAAACCCAAACGATGACACCGAAAGCGGGTTCCTAACACGGTAATTCATTCGCACGCCCTTTGATACGAAACTCGGAAGACTTCCACGTTCAGAAGTATCTTGCGAAAGGGCGCAGGCCCATTTGTAGCGCTGTGGCTTTGCTTTACTATCCACGGGTTAGACCGAGTCTTTTGTGAGACTAATGCGGCTATTGATCTCCCCACATCGGAGTGGTGATCTGGATCTTGTCCGAAGGATTTTAGATGGACTTTAGATTCATGTTGTACAGCCAGTTAGAATGATGGAGCCCTTTCTAAAAATTGGATGTCTACCGAGTAGATGCTAGGATAGAACTAGATGCTAAAAGGTTACCGTTTACGAAGTGGCTTGGGATGACTCAAAGAGCGGGGTTGTCTTCATGACGAAGCTTGAATAGATGAGTCCTTGGAATTCTCCTTTGAAATCAAAGTCTAATATAGAAAGGATAAAATGAGATGACTCGGAAATGTTTTAACCGGCATTTTTAGTCTAAAAGAACACGGACGTGCTGGTGGTTTTAGTCCGATGCTAGTCCGAACATGTGGATTTTTATTCCGATGCTAAATCCCCAACTTTCTGATGACGCTGATTGATTTCTAATCGACAGATTTCTAATATACAAATCAAAAGACAGATGCTATTTTAGTACTTCCTCGATATATAATTCTACCTGGATGCATCGGAGTACATTGAGTGTGTTAGTTCGATAGAGTCCCGAAGTCCGATGAGGCTTGTCAGCATTGTTTCTACCTACTCCGTACATATACATACATATATATGCAGGCACTCCGCTCCATTTTAACTTTTCGAATGACTCGATCAAAGTCAATCATTGATCGTCTCCATCCTCGCTCCCTCCTTTGATGTTCTAACACGCCCTACGGCCTTGGCAGCAGTACATATCCACAGGTTTCCCACTATTACGAATATGGTGCATTCAACTCGTTTTCCTCCTGGGCAAGAGCCCTGGAGAAGTCATTGAGTGTTGCTTCAGCATTTCTTCCAAATGCCAGAAATAGTCCATTCCTATGATTTTGCTACAATCCAACGTCTGATCTCAGACAGTAATGAAGAAACCCATCTTGGAATGCTCGAATGTTCCGAGTCATGAAGCAGCCAAAGCCCCAACTACCTATATATGCTGATGTGCTTCTTCTCCGAACTTTCTTACTGTCACTTTCCAAGGCTCTTATTGCTCAACCCGTGGATCTTCCAAGACTGGAAGATCAATATGTTAGTAATCATTTCATCAGGCCGTCATGGCAGAGACACCCGGCAGTTTGGCTTGGCAGCAACATCAGTCCTTGTCAGTAGACGCCTAACAACGTGGAGAAATTCAATTCCGCGCTGCAATTTTCCGCTTGGGCCATTTGTCAGCTTCAGGTTCCACAGCCTCCTTACTTCGACCTCGGGAACCTTTAAAGTTTCACGATGAATAATCGACGAGAGTTCTGGGGTTCGGACGGGATGGAAGCTTGGTTTAAGACAGACCTGATCTGGTATGTCCCTCCCCTTCACTTTTCCATTTCCCACCTCAATCCAGATAACTACCTCACTAAAGCCAAAATAATGTCTCTCAAGCCCATCACTGTCTACGGACATGATCTGGGTCCCAATCCCTGGAAGGTGATCATGATCCTGGAAGAGCTGAACATTCCCTACACGCACAAGATTGTCAACTTCCCAGATATGAAGAAAGAGCCATTCGAATCCATCAACCCCAACGGCCGCGTCCCCGCAATCGAAGACCCGAACACCGACATCACCCTCTGGGAATCCGGGGCGATTGTCGAATACCTGGTTGACACATACGACAAGCAAAACATCATCAGCTTTGCCGCCGGCTCCAAGGACTACTACCTCGCCAAGCAATGGCTCCACTTTCAGGTGTCTGGTCAAGGACCATACTTCGGCCAGGCTGTCTGGTTCAGCCGCTTTCACCCAGAGAAGGTGCAAAGCGCAATCGACCGCTACATCAACGAAATCCGCCGTGTTTCTGGCGTGCTCAACCGCGCCCTCCAGGGGAAACAGTATCTGGTCGGTGACAAGTTCTCATATGTTGATGCTGCTTTCGTCCCTTGGAATCTGTATCCTGGCCAGTTGGGGATTGATATGGAGAAGGAATTCCCCAATGTCGATGCTTGGTCAAAGCTGGTGCAGGGACGTCCTGCTATTGCTAAGGCGGTTCAAGATCGGGCTGAGGCTTGTGCGCAGCGTAAATGAATTCCATGAGGATATTTGCGAGTGGATAGGAAGGAATGAAACGAAAAGCCACAATGATAGTCGGTCGCTCATTCGGCCTCTGTCCTTGACGACATAGGCCTTTAATGATATGGTCTGTTCGGCCTAAATTGATATTAGGGGCGTTATGTGTATGTGAGAACGTACCGATGTGTAATTACGCACTACGCACTTCTCCATAATCTCCATACCGAATCCGCTTAAAAGCACAGAGCAGATAAAAAGGAGTCGGGTCGACAGATGTCACAGTCGTTGCAGCAGGCACCAGCTAAAAGGTTGAAAGAATCGGAATTATCGGAGGACTGTGGAGCTGAATATTCATACCCGAAAAGGCAGGTTTGTTGCCTTGGTGTAGGCTTTGATTGCCATTGGATGTCAAGACAAAACCGTGTCTTAATCAGATGTCCACTCACCTGGGCCGAACTTCGTTATTGTATGGAGAATGAGGAGAACGTGGGCGATACTGTCGGATGTTCGATCTTTCCGCGCATCTATTGATACAATATTACATTTAGTGTCATTTTAGTCTAATTATGGGGGTCTATTAGAGCGTGCTATGACGCGGACAAGGCCGTGCCGTCCAAACAGTAGGATTAAGATTGCTGTGGATCGACGTGTCCGTCGGCTTCTAGCTCCCCTACCATTATTCCACTGGCTGGCCAATTATGGAAAGGTGGATGGGCGGAGCAGCTCTTGCTAGACGGGAGTATGGAGACTATGGAGAAGTGCGTGAAATTAGAAATCTATGCTGTAAGGCGCGGAGTCGTCATCACTGCGGGCTGTGGTTATAGCTCAAGTCTACCTATGGAGTATAACGGACCTACAATATACTATGTACAACACACTCTGTACGGAGTACTCGGTACCTACTTACTATCTGGTGCATGCATATTGTACTTCTGTCGTGGGCTGATATTTAATTTTATTTGCGACGCCATGAGCAGGTCAGGACTGGTATATTATCAAAATTGGTATTTATAGGCTAGAATTTGAGTCCAGCTCAAGTGGGATACGAACCTGACCCCTGACCGAGCGCTAGCACCGTCAGGGGAAATCCCCTTGCTGGCCACGCACACCGCACTGTATGTAAAGGCTTGGAAAAGCTGGGCAGGTACGGAAGCAGATCAGTCAGGTTGTCAGGTCAGTCTGTCAGGGGGTAAAAGTCCTATACTAGGCGTCTAGGACTATTACCCCTAGCGGGATTGTTAGGGGCTGTCCGCAACATCTGTCAATTAACGTGAGGTTAGATTGTAAAGAGTACTCCGGAGTCCGTACAAGCATAACATTATAAGGGGGAAGTAACTTCAATAGCGTGCTCTAATAAATCAAAGAAAAC